CTGGAGCACTGTGGCATTAAGTGTTGTCTTGAGTATACTGTTAAAGTAGGTAAAAAGCTAGCGAGAACTTATCCCCAACCCCAAAAAGGAGCTATGGATACATTACATCGATTGTTTTCTTATCTCTCATAATAAACTGTATTAGATCACAAGTTTCCTTTTTATCCTTTTCTGAATATCACTCTGCACATTTAATTCTTCTTTTAGTTATATGCTTATAAATTGCAGCAAGTCAATATGTTGGCTATTGAGGGTTAAAAGTTGCTAGTTTTATCACTGAGCAGCTTAAAAAGTTGATTAAAAGTAGCAAAAATGATGGTCTGCCACCATCTTCAGAGCTCCAAAATACTATTTCTGTCTTCAACTTCTTTTTTATTCCCCAGAGTTACTACAGGCCCAGAACTCCCATTACTGCTACAAGGTCAGTTCCGGTCAGTGATCTGAATGATGACTATCAATACTTGTGTTTTCAGGTTATTGTTCTTTTTTTATAATGGAAGAGAGCACTATAAATTTTTAAGTAAACTATTCATATCAGCTGTTACATTATTCAGTTTTCAGAAGTCAGAGGTATTAGCAGACACTTTTTAAGTGCAGAACAGTCAGTAAATATCTGTCTAAACTTAAATGTTGTAATCAAAAAGTGTCAAAAACATAATAAGCATTTAAAATTACTGAAAACAATTACAATAAATCTTTTATGGGTACTTCTTTTACACTCTCTACACATTTCAGTCAGTGCCAAATGTTAACAATTATTAACAGTTTGTTAACAATCACTTTTCATGAACGTCTGTATTATTTCTGTTTGCAATTCTAATTAATTTTCTCACTAAAATTAGAATGAGTGACATTCATACTCTTCAGCTGAAAGTTCCTAAATGCCAGAGTTCATAAACACCGTGGACAAACCATTTTTTCCCTCAAGTAATAGTATTTGCATTATTATTTTAGCTTAGTATTCTCATTTGATGATAATGTGTGTCCATAAATTGTAATGAGCAGTAAAACCTCAGTACACTTTAGAGGTTTGTAAAAGAGGTCTCTTTATCCCCATTGGACATGCTCTTCCATTAGTTTTCTGGCATGTTCTGACCTGGCAGAAATTGCAAACAGAAAGATAATTTCCAAGAACTGATATCCTTTTTTAAAGGTAATCTTTGCTTCTCAGTACCAGTAGTTATTTTCCCATGAAATAAGACTCATGTGCTGCAAGCACTGCTTCAGAAAGACTTTGGAGGAGGGAAGCATAAAGGATACACATACACACCCGTGCACATCCTAAAAACACATCCTATAATTAGTCCTTTCCTGAAGACCAATCCTACAACAATATTGTATAGTATTACCTTTTTATATGAAATATCTGTGAGAAAGGGTAAGAATGATGAAAATCTAAACTTCAGGAAATATCTTATTGCTCGTAGCGTATAACATGCAATTTAAATAAAATATAGGGAAGATATTCTGGTAGCAATTCTAATAAAACATAGGAAATACGCTCTGCTAGCATTATGGTTTTATAACATTTATCCAGCCAGCAAAAGAATTTAGGTAAGATCACATAAAAGACATTCAGCAAGCTGTAGAAGTGGTCATAACTACTGACTTGGTCCTAACCTACTCTCATGGAGAGGCAAACCTGTAGAGAAAATAACACAGACTTGACTAATAAATTGATAGCTACCAAGTACAGGAGGACACTTTCTGCCCTTTGCAAAGCTATCATCTAAACTGCTATAGGAAGACAGAGTCCAGAAATGAAAACATTAATACAGAACAAAGAATTAGGAATCAGTAATTTAGCAGCAGGAAGCAGAGTAGTCCATAGTGTTGCAGAAAAGGTTGTACACTGGCTTATTCAGAAAATGTACAGGAATTGCTTTCAAAAAGGTTGTTCATTAAGTATATGTTATTCTTTCTGCAGGGATCGAGTGGAATTTATTATCCTCTGACACAGTGGGGCCTTCTTTTCACAAATGAGGATTAGAGAAACCAGTTAATGGCTTGCTTATTCTAGATGGAGCTGTCAAGGCCATTTTATAGTTGCAAATGTTTTGCTACGGCATTGTAACCCATAATTATAAATATGTATCTTTGGCAACTCCAAAACATGAAAGGAAAGTATTAATAGCTATAGCTGGTATTTTTATACTGTAGTTCACCTACACAGCAAAGTGCTCTTGGCAGGGGGAAGCCAGGAACTTCACATTACAAATACAGTAACGAAAAGGTCAAGAAACTGCCCAAAATCCCAAAGAAAGGCAATAGAAGAACTAAAAGAAGAACTTCAGCCCCTTCCTATATTTTTCTCCCCTCCAATATTTTCTAGTTTTATTATCCTTTCTCTGCTCATACTTAATATTCACCCAAATAGAATTGTCTTTGGTACTTGAATGTACTGAATTGCAGGGGTAATTAAAAGACAGAGTATACTTTTCTAAGATATATTTTTCTTGGCAGTTTAGACTGAAGCCTGTGAAATTAGAAAGAGATCATAACATTTGGCACATCCTCCTAATTTTCACAAATGTATTTTTAACCCTTCTTTGAATCTTCAAAGATTTTATTCTCAACCTATGATGTTTTGCAGCCTAGTATAGTTAGCATTAACTAATGCTTTTATTCCCATACAATACTCTCATATCAAGATCTGTGAAATGTAATACAGCCTAAGTCAGCAACATGAAGTGGCTAAAATATCACAAAATGTCCTTTTTCACTTACCAGTTAACAAATTCAGCAAGATGCTTTCCATGTGAAGACCAGCTCATTTGTTTGCAGAAGACATTCAGATCTCTAACAACTAATATCTGAATTCTTTTACATCCACTAAAATGTTCTTAAAATATTAGAAAAGACTTTTCCTTTTACCTGGGATTCAAGCTAATGGTGGTACATGAGCCAGCTAAGTTCTGCAAGGCTAGATATATAAGCTGGGGAAATAAAAAGCTCCCAGTGAAAGCTCTCAGCAGTTTCTTTAAAGACTATGGGGGGCAAATGTACAAAACAGATGCTTGTTTCTAGCCCATCTCTCTTAAAGTTGGTGAATTCCAGCTCAGTTCATTGAAAAAATAGTCTTAATTAATAGGAATATCATCTGTTCTGCTGTTAAAGTATGTGTTGCTAATTTGAGAAAATAGTAGAACTTTAAACACTTGTGAGCAATCTCAGCACTTGAAAGCTGATAATATATGCTTCTTATTTCATAAGTGACTTCTGCTCAGCTTTACTGTGAGTACAACAGAATTAGATGACTTCTGTATAATATCACTAGCTGTTCGATGGGTTTGTTTGGATTTTTTTTGTTTGTTCGTTTTTGTGTTGTTGTTTTTTTTTGTTTTTTTTTTTTTTTTTAAACATATCCTTAATGGCAACCCCACAACATAAATATAACTCTTTTATTTGAAATAATGAAATCCAGGCCAGAGTGAGCCCAGGACTACCCAACACTTGATTTTCTGTGCTATTTATAGAGATGATCTATAAAGTAACATTATTATGATCTATTTTAGAGTGACTGAGTATTTGGCCCAACTCCTTTGCCCCTCCCAAGGCTGTCAAGGTTTCAAGCAATGGAATCCAGTAGCAAGTAAATTTATTTTGCTTAGGCACGCACATGCATACATACACATTCACACACACATACAAACACACTGTCATCATAATTTCCTATGACATTTAAGAGAAGAAAAACTCTTATATATAATATGCTAAAGGTTGAATATTTGGCTTTTTTTTTTTTTCCAAAATAACTATTAAAGTTGCAATCGAAAGTGTTCCAGGCCACAGGACTGGGTAGTTAAATTACACATTTAAGGGTAGATGGGCTGTGAACGCTCAATGTGAGCTTTATTTTCTCCAAAAATTCTTTCATTAGAGAAAACCTAAGACAGGCAATCCGATTTTATAATAAGAAAGTGCCTTTTTTTTTTTTCCCATTGAACTGACCATTTTGGAAACTCAAAGAGTTCCAAGCTTGTTATTAATTTTTTACAATGTCAGCACACTTCTTATAAACTGGTTATTTTGGTGGATGTTTTTTTACTGAATTTTTGAAATATTTTATACACCAGAGGAAACATTTCACTTTCTTCAAATTGGAGAATAGCGTCATACTTAAGCCACATTATCTGTGTCTGAAAACACCATAAATAATAAATATAGAACAAGATTTTTCACAAATCTGTTCACTTAATACAAAAGCCATAGCAAGAGTTTTGTTGTTTTCTGTTCTTTAAGGAGATTTCTTGCATGAATTTTCTCTGCAAGAATCTGGGGCACAAGCAGCATGAGCAGCAGGGAATATTCCCTTGTCCTTGGCCACATTGCTTACACGGGTAGGTAAGACAGATAGTGATAGGACAAGAGTTAATAGCTTTAAACTAGAAGAGGGGGGTATTTAGATGAGATATTAGGAAGAAACTTTTTTAATTAGGGGGCAGTGAGGCCCCGGCACAGCTGCCCAGAGGAGCTCCATCCCTGGAGGTGCTCAAAGCCAGGTTGGATGGGGCCCTTGGCAGCCTGAGCTGGTGGGGGCAGCCCTCCTCACAGCTGGGGGTTGGAACTGTGTGGCCTTCGAGGTCTCTTCCAAACCATAATGCAAGTCTATGACCAGCCAAGCTGTAGTGCAATCCTGATGCAGGGGGGCAGGAAGTCCAGGGAGTGATGCCAGGCTGCCTTGGAGAGCAGTGGGGTGTCAGACCACCCGCTTACATGCTTGCTTTAAAAAGGAGGCAAGACTTCATCCATGAAGCCAAATTTCTTTCTGGGATTTTTTTCTGTTTATTTATTTATTGTGTTTAGAGGTGATGCAGAGAAGGTACAGCCTGGCAGAGGGGTAGATACAAAGAATTCAGTAGCTCACCAGAGAAATCTGTTACAGGTCTGGAATTTTTCTCTTATGACCCAAAGGAATTAATCACCTCTTCTCACATAAACAAGCCTTATGCTTGCCTAGGTAATAAAATAATTACAACCACAATTCGCATACACATTACCATCTGCCTTTTTCTGTTCCAACAGCAGTTCTTCCTCAGGCTGAAGCTAAAAGGGAAAAAAATTATTAGCAGAGAACAAAAACATATCAGTAAAGAGTAATGTGTGTTTCCTTATTAGAGAGCCCAGGCCCTCTCCTTCCTCCTTATTCCAGTATGTACAGAACTATAAAACACAGAAATGTTCACAGGATATTAAGTATTAAAGCACTGATGTCAGCAAGCCAACAAAAATGCAAAGAACAATATACAGAAGTGTTACTGGGGCTACCATGGTAAAGTATTCCTTTTACAATGAATTTTAGAGCTAACCCAAAAATCTGTAGCTATGGTAAACACATAAATTGCCAGATTAACTACATCACATTAATCCTACACATTCTGCTCCATAAGATACAATCTTCTCAGCACTATCAGAGGAAAATGCAGAAATGCATCTGAGCCCTGTCACATTTACATTAAGCACCAACACCCTTCATGTTGGTAGTCTTCTTCATCACTTTGGTAATAACTTAAATATTGCCTAATGTTCACTATACCCAGCCAGGCATGAAGTCAAGAAGTCAGTTATTCAGTTATAGGTAATACGTAAACAGTTCTGTTTTGTTTTATCAGTAGCTTCCAATTTCCAAAATTTTTGTGGATTAATTTTCCAGCTACACTTTCTCCTACACCTAGGCAAAAATCAAAACGCCTTTTGCTTTTGACACCAACAATTTGTTTACTACTAGTTAAAACTTTGCTCAATATCACTGATGCTGCACTGACATTAACAGACGGATCAGCAGTCATTGCCACTAATGAATCTATGCATGTTCGTGGATGTTTGTCCATGAGTACCCGTGAGACAGAGACAGAAAATGTATGCGCAGTCTTCTCAGAGCAAACAAAGTGGGAATCCTGGCTTTTGCAATCCCTCCAGTGTGTGCACTGCACAAGGACTGACCTGTGGGCGAATTCATGTAGAAACAGCACATTCCTCATTCTTTCCTAGAAAACTCCTGCCAAAAACCTAAGTAAATGGTGCAGAACAAGTTTTTTTCAATTGGGCCCAAAGGAGTCACAAGTAAGAAACAGAGAGACAAAGGAAGGTAGAAAGCATCTATATACTGTATTTTCAAAAGTGCATTTATAAAAAATAAAAAAGGAAGGAGGGAGGGAATAGAGGGGTTTACAGTTTGGTCATTTTATCCCTTGAGTGCCATTAAATGTTCCAGGCTGCATGTATCTGGAATTGTGCCAGGTGTTTCATGTCTGCTCCACGGTGTTGCTGAGCATTCCTGCTAATGGCCAGATCCTCTCCGACCAAAACCTGCTGACTCTTCCAGGTAAGAAATAACATTCAAGAAGGTGTTAGGTGATATGAGCTGAGCAGCAGCACCACAGCACGAGATCAGTACAGAAAGGCTTCCCCTCTCTTCTCAGCGCTGATGCACTCAGTTAATGCTTTTTGGTCCTTAAGGTCATTAAGCGGCCTGTACCTTAGATGCAACAGTCTGGTTTCAGCCTTCTCAGGAGCAGTGCTCCTGCACAGCGAGGGGGAAGATAGCAAGATCAGGTCTTACTGTACCACACGCACATCTTCAGTATGATCTTCATTCCACGTGTGGGGCTCATATGGGCAGTGAGGAACACTACCATGGTTTGTTTGGGGTGCTTTACATATTAGACTTGGCATAGCATACATAAAAATTTCCTTTCCTTGAAAGTCTAATGGAAAAACATATTTAATAAAGCTACAGAAGGGAACATTAATCTGGAGCTAGAATACTTCTTAAATATAATTTTGTATTTGAACTTGGGCTTCTCTCTTGGATTTTGCTTAATGTAGAGGAACCATACTGCAGTCACACTGCAATGTATAGAAAATCCAGTTCTCTTATAGGGAAGAGTTAAGCAGAACAATTCCCAATCTGATCCCAGACACACTTCTGCTATGCACATTTCACATTTCAAAACATACAGTGACAGTCTCATTGCTTCACCTAAACATCTCAACACAGTTCACTGAGTATCCTCCCTCTGTACAAATTGCGCTATGCTTCCTGATGAGCCATCTTTACTCCATTGCTTTAACTCTCTTCCAGGGATTGCTCTCTTGTGTGCATCTCCTTGACTGGAATGGCTAAAGATTTAAATGTACCCGTAAAGGTCACTACTCTAACAAATGGTGCATGAGACTGACATTTTAGGAATATCAAGGCATGTAAAACTCCCACTATTCATTGTCAGTGTGTTGGACATGTTTTCCTAAGAAATAAGGAAAGTGCTTGCACTGAATTCTCCTCTCTAACCAAGATTTTGTCCGCAGAGGGAAAGAATTGGAGTCTTTGTTTTTAATAGCAAATACATACCGTGCTTTCAAATTGTTTTCCTTACTTGGCTATAAGCTTCACTGTTTAGATCGTTTCCTTTCTTTCCCTTTCCTCAGCAGGAGACAATGTGGTCCTCCTGGCCCCTAAGAAACTAAAGAACTTTTGTTTTTCTGTGTTTAGGATGAATATCCAGGACTTTGCAGCACTTGATCTTTTCCTATAAAACAACTCTGCATTTCAAATGTAACAACATGGGAAAAAAAATCATATACTGAATGGCAAAGAAACACCCAAGGAAGAAGGAAAGAGCATGATACATGTGCTATCCAAACATTCCCTCACCTCCTCCAGCCCCCTCAAAAGTAAACCGTGCACAAAACCCAAAGTTCGACATGAAGCATATGTGAAAACAATAACTTGCTCTGGAGAATCTATGCCTTTATGCTACCCTTTAAAATATTTCAGATAAATCAGTCAAACAAATAATGGAAATCTAAACAAAACCAGTTGGGCAGAGCCTAGAAGCCTAGTGTTCTTGGAAGTGCGGAAATAACATTACCTATCAGCCAGCAATTCTTCTAAAAACAAAGAGCAAAATCTAATTGGTTTTGGAAGAGGGGGTATCATTTACAGAATTTAGCAAATTTAGCTGTTTTTAAAATGCACTCCAGGCTGCTCTTTATTTTTAAGCACTGCTGCTGTTTCAATTAGGCACGCATTTAGCCAAAGGAATTGCCATACCAACATTCAAGCCAGAAAGAGAAGTAACATTTTAGTGGCTAATTACAGCCATGTCACACAGCCTGACAGCAGCATAGGTAGGTTTGTGATGCAGCTAAAGCAAAAGCTGGCTTTCCCCCCTGCCTCCAACCATCTCTATTCACAATGATGCCTATAATTATAATTATCCTGTAATGTTTGGTGATGCCACATAAATTAGCCCTTTAAGCAGCACATCTGTTGCTTCTCATTTTCCTCTAAAGACCTTGAGAGATAAGTTACATAGCATCCTTAGAAGCAATTACGTGTCTACAATCATCTTCTTTCTTTCCTTATGATACAAGATAGAAGGGGACAGACTTTTTAGCAGGGACTGCTATGACAGGACAAGGGGAAATGTGGTTTTTTTTTTTTTGTTTTTTGTTTTTTTAAATACTAAAAGGGAGATTTAGATTGGATGTAAGGAAGAAGTTTTTTTACAGTCAGGAGTGAGACACTGGCACAGGTTGCCCAGAGAGGTGGTGGGTGCGTGCCCCATCCCTAGAGACACTCAGAGTCAGGCTGGACAGAGCTCTGAGCACCTAATCTGATGTAGGTGTCCCTGTTCATTGCAGGAGAGTTGGACCAGATTAAGGGTCCCTTCCAACTCAAATGATACTATGATTTTCTATTTATATATAAAGTGAGAAATGCAAAAAATAAAATAAATACACACCAGGAATCTCCAGTACCATATGTGTAGTGGCTCCACAGGTACATGAGTGGCAGCAAGTGCAAGCAAACTAAACATAGAAATAATATGCTGGCAGAATTTCCCAACAAATTAAAAAGGCAAAGGCGGTCTTGTTGCTAAATCACAAAACCAGGAACCAAGGTTTTCTTCCAGAAAACTCTAGTATTTCTCTTCGATCATGAGCAAGTGTTTCAACATTTCAATTCCTTTAGTTTTCATGCAGATAAATTGCCTAGCTCATTTTAGCAGAGGTTGCCCTTGTCATCTTCCAACAGGGATTCTCCAAACATCTCTGAGTTGTCCTGGTAGCATTCTTTAAGCATACCCAAAGGTTCCAGTTGGAAGAGCAAATAATTAGTAATATTGGCTGGGCTATTTCACCACAAAATATCATTCCTTTTTGTGAGGATCTCTGTAGCTATGTGTGCTGCCTGATGGTCCCTTCATGATGCAAAACTTCAGAGGGAATTTTTTTCTACATTAAAACAGCAAGATGAGGCCAAACATGATACCCATTTGTTAAAGGCTGAGCTCTGCTGATGTAAATCTATGCAAAATACAATAAGAATAATATGTGGAAGCTCAAGAAATACAACAAAAAGAAAAAGATTCTTGTTCTAGCAAATGTGCATTAGCTAAAATTTACGTTTGAAATGCTGGTCTCCTGTGGACCCAGAATATATTTTCCGTATGTCTGTGTGTTGGGAGTTCCATAAAATGCTGAGCACGTACATTTAAAATAGCTCTGACAATGTATTAAAAAAACCTCTAAAATATTATGACATGGCCAATTTCCATGCTTTTTAAAATCAATGACATGACATGATATATTTTATGTGTGGAAATATACATCATAAATATTGGCCAATGTCATAATATTTTTAATGTTTTATATGTTGTCAGATCTGCTTTAAACACAGTACGTGTGCTGTACATTTACTGAAACATAATTCAGAGAGATGCAGGAAATCAAATGTATTCTTTTTCCATGTGGCTTTATTATATATTTTATGGATTTTGTTGCTCCGTACATGCCTTTTTTTTTTTTTTTTTTTTTTTTTTAAACCTTCTCTTTCTTTCCTTCTTTCTTGCCTAATTGTACGTTACCTTGCTTTCTTTATCTCACTTTCCCTTCCATACTTTCTTGCTTGCCTTTTCTTCCATTTCTCTTGAAAAAGACGAATGTTCTCTGGAGAGAAAAAAAAAAAAAAAAAAAAAAAAAAGATCAGATTCGGCAGATTCCTGCTGATCAATTTTCTTTTAGTTATGCCCCTGACCCAAGCAACTCTAACTTTTGGACAGACGTTAATTATGTCTAACCACTTGACTGACGCAAAGACTGAAACACCAGCCCCACCAAGATAAATAGGAAAATTATCATAGAGTTGAAAAGGCTTTACCTCTAGACTTCTTATTTATTGGACATGACCATGAATCTATGGCATCACATTTAAAAATGCTTAGCCATAACTAGAGGGAGCCCCAGCAGGTCACGCAGGTGACTATTACAAATTGATTTAAAGAAAAAGAATATTTGAATAACTAACGGTGTTCCTAGGGTGAAAGGGAGTGGTGCAGCAGTTGAGAAAAGAATATATACATATGTGAAATGCTGTTCCATGGTTTTTATTTTATTTTTTCAGGTTTTTCCCTTTCCTTTTTTTATTCTTCCTCCATTTTCCCTTCAGAAATGGAAGGGAAGCTTAATTAAAACAACTTGTTCAGCAAGCAGTAGAGCTAATGAAACCTTGTTTCCTGTGGGTTTTTGTCTTATAACCCCTGCTGTGATAACCTTAGCTCCATTCTCACATCCTCTATGGCTGCCCTTGCTACCATACCTTCAGTTCTCCAAAATAACCACTCAAATAATTCCCATATCCCTTCACTTCCTCACCCTACTCTTAAATCCACACTACACATGTGCTACCTGTGTCTCTAGTTCCTTCCTAAACCACTGATTTTGACAGAGGTTGTAGCAACTCCATTATCCTGGGGGCTGGCAAGCTGCCAGATTCCTCATGCATCTTTGAAAGTGGTTCTTAATCCTTACTTCAGTATCTTGCATCAATCTTGGATTCTGCAGTGACCCCTGGGTTCAGGAAATAAATATAATTATACGTAACTGAATTCTACAATGTTAGAAATGCACAAGAAACTTGAGAAACAACCAGCGTGAATGAAAATATAGGAAATATGTTCCAGAGTAGCACTCCATAAGGGTTCACGTCCATACTCAAACCTATTAAATATTTTAATGTGAAAAAATGTTGCAACTGCATTGGCACAGACAGCACAGCTTTTGAGCCAGACCTTGGGCCTGTTACATAAATTACTACTGGATTCCCTGACAGGGTGAGGAAACCTGGAATCCAGAGCCTGGGAATTCAGTAGGTGGGCACTGAGAACTAAATGAGCATATATTTCAAAAGAAAATTGTTTGTGTCTGCAGAAGCAATAATCCAAAGTTGAAAAGACTCTGTGCTGTGTGACTGAAAGCTGTTATGTATAGGAGACTCCTAAGAGCACAAGACATGGATCCACTCACATGTCCATGTGTCATGATGCAGCTGGAGCTGGCCCACGTTCTAGGATGGCTGGGTCAAACCTGACACTGGCCCAGCTGCCTGGAGAAGTTGCGGTGCCCCATCTCTGGAGGTGCTCCAGGCCAGGTTAGATGGGGCCATGGGCAGCCTGAGGTGTGGAGGGGAGGCAATCTTGCCCACAGTAGTGAGCTAGAACCAGATTATCCATATGGTCCTTTCCAACCTAAGCCATTCCATGATTCTATAATTTTTCTTCCTGTTCTGTTTCAAAAGTACATGCAATTATGCAGCTTTGATCCACACCTTCAGCGTGGCTTTTCCTTAAAAGTGACTGGTCACTGCATGCCTTCCAGCTCCAAGCAACTAGAATAAAGTGTGAGCCCAAGCATAGATGTTCAGCCCTTTCTGAAAATCCAGCCCTTTACAAGTGCTTTGAGTCAGTAATCCAAGAAAGGAAAGACACTGGCAGGCATTAGTCACTTCTGAAACATTCTGGATGAGAGTGAGGATGGCTGCTCAGAATCAGCCTGAATATCACTGTATTTTGCAAGACTATGCAGGCAGGCTCTGAAAACATTCAGAGCATATGTGAGCTGTACCTGAATTTGAAGGCAACCCAAATCCAGTAAATTTCAGCAATAAGCAGCCTGTGAGTGATGTAGATGGACAAGGGGCATAGAGGACAAGCTCATATTTCTCTGCGACACCCTAATAGCCATCCCGTATGATATGGTCTTCTCCAAGAATAACTGAGCTCCAAGCACCACTAAGCAAAAGGCCAATGCAAGTTGACTGCAGAGCATTATTGCTAAAATTAATCTCCACCTTAACCAATCTTATATACACAGGTCATTCAGTAGATACATGCTCAGGAGTAAAGCTCACGTCCTTCCTCATGAATATGAACTGCCTTAACAAAGCTGTCCCAGTGTACTGCAGCCCGTTTCCAGCATTTTTGCTCTAGCCAGTGAATCCCAGCATCAGCAGCACTTAGTGGCTAGCTCCTGGTTAACCAGTTACCTACTTTAAAAGAGGAGCCATTGTTAAGAAATACTGATTTCAAAAACAAAAAATGAAAAGCAAAAAGCTACCTGCTCTGACTAATGTGACAGAAGCTATAATGGTAGAATATAGGTCTTCACTGCTCAACTTCTTTTCATTAATCTACTTTTAATTCACTTTATGCTTTGAGTTACCTCTTCTTGAGCCAAAAGTTTGCCATGTAAAAGAGCATATTTATTCAGGCATTTTTCCTGTCATCTTTATATTTTCCATACATACTTTGTGTTGGTCAGTAATTCTGGAACTGCAAGAAAGAAAGAAAATGATGGGGATATATTTTATTCTGTGAGATAGGCATAGAAGGAAATGAAGAGGATAGGAAAGAAGTAGTTCTAAATATTTAAGAACTACTAATACTAATACAATGTTGTCTAAATATTTAAGTGCCAACCTAACTGCAACTCTCTGATGCACAGGAGATGCAAAAAAAAAAAAAAAAAAAAAAAATCAGAAACAACAGCTTTTCTTAAAATTGAAAAGTAACATAAAGAAAAATTAGTGACATCAACTAACAGCATGAATGAATCCTGCAAATATTAGTGGGATCTCTTACAGTGCTTATCACTGAACAGTAAGCTATCCAAGGCAAGTTTCCAGGAAAAAAAATAAAAGCAAAATGCAAAACCACCTCCCCCCTCCCCCCCGCAAGAGAAATTTTATTGGGAATGTTGCTAGGGAGCTATTCGTTTTTCTTCAGGGAAAAGCAAGATTTTCTTGATGTCACTAAGAGATGATCCTTGCCTCTAAATTTCTGTATCCCATAGATTAGCTGAAGGAACTCAGATTTAATACATACATCATTTTTTCAGAAGTAGCACTCTAACTACAAATGATCCCCTTACACCCAGGTAAAGCGTTTCATTGTTTTTTCACGAAGAAATCCACAGTCAGGTAACAATGAACAATAGTACAACAGTTATTTAAAAAGATAAGGTCTCCCAGTAGAGCAGCGTGCTGTGCTATAGGAAGAGACAACACAAAGAGAGATCATCAATTTATGCACTTAGAAGTGGCAGTGAAAGTGCCTCCATCATGTCAGCCATTTCAGTTGGCTGGTAAGAGAGCCTCAGAGGGGTGTCTTGCTCCTGCTCTGCACAGAATAAACACACTGACCGAACAGAGAGCAAAGCAGAGGAAACCACAGAGCTTGGGTAATTGCACTTCATAAGAGAGGAATAGCAAGTGATCTGGGTACACAGCTCAGAGATCAGATTCCTCCATGGTCTCCCCAGGTACTCTGAGACAGCAGGAACAATTGCAGCTGCAGCCAGAGGGAGAGTGCAAGGAAAGGGGCAAGAGAGGGACTGCCAAAAATAACCTTCCACAAGCTGCAGAACCAGTGATTGCAAAAACAGAGCCAGAGCACTACACACAAGGCCACATGTCTGAAGCTCAAACAGAGCAGTGAGTGACTTCAGACTGCAGAGCTTTTTGTGGAGGGGGAGAAACCCCACTACATCTCAGTTCTGGTATAACCATACTTCCACTTGCCACATCTTATATCCTGCTGTAATTGTGTCCCAGAGAGCCATGCCCATGCTGCTTATGTACTTTCCAGCCTGCCCATATGCTTCTTAAGTGGTGAGCTCATCTAAATCATCCCTCTCATTTCCCTCCTACAGAAACTATTCATGGCCTGTCTATTTCTATTCTGACCAGATCGCTGATGGTCCACAGGACTCCGTGGAGCCAACCCTACCGAGATAATTGTCAGATTTGGAATCACTTAAGAAAAGCTCTTCCCAAAAATATTTATTTGCTTAAAAGAGTCCAAGAGATTCTCAAATACTTGTGAACAGCAGGTGATTGTTTTCGTCAACATGTGCCCTCTGTCTTATGACATCCTTTATATAACTGTAGGGACCAGGTACAATGACCTCTCCAAGACCGTGTTAGGTTCAGTCCATATCAGGCTGACAAAAGCTGACAAGCAGATATGAGGGTGAACTCAACATGTCGTGTACAAGTTCATTCATGAGCAGAAATGCCACACACAGCTGGGAAATAAATACCCATAGCTCCTTGTAGCCAAATTTCCAAGTGCTTCATTTCCACTGCAGACTCTAGATTTTTAAAAATATTTCTTAGGCCTCTAAATAATGGGCTGTATTTTACATGACTTCAACCCAAGCAGTTGAGCTCACTTGACAACAAAGCCACTCATTTAAATATCTGTAGAGGTACAAGGTCCTTTTGAAAAGTCACAGCTGAAATATATCAGTTCAGAACACATGAATGTGGGGTGTGAAAAGAGCAAAAGAGGCTCAAGCACTTCAAATGAGACATGCTAAGATATCTCCAGAACAGCTATCTATCCCTGAGATTCAAAACAGCATTTATGTCTGCACTAAAAAAAAAAAAAAATTCTGGTACAGAACATCAAAATTCTGTCTGGAAGTGGCAGGGTTAAACTGAATTAACTGACACTGTCAAAATGTTGACAGCAGCATGAATTTTTATGAAGAGGGTTAGAACAGAAAGTCATTATCCCATTCAAACTATAATGTCTACAAAAGCTTGTGTTGTGCTTGAGCTACATTGGTAAAAAATATTTTCAGAAGCAGGACTGCATGTAGCAGATTTAAATGCAGCAAAACCTTTCTTGTATGGACTTAATTTTGAGAGATTATGCCTGCCTTCAGATGCCTCATATAGCACCAAGCTGGAATAGAAGGATGTCCTTTCTTTGTGGAACAAAAGAAAAAGAGTCATTGTACTACTTGTGGGTGGGGGATTAAATAGCCAAGATAACTAGTTATTTTCTTCAAAATGGAGTAGTAGGTGGATTTTGAAAGATGTCTGTTCTACAAGAGTGAAACACATTGTTTGGAGTGACCAAACGGGACGTAGCTATGAACAATGGAACAGAAACACGGGAAGGAAAAAATCAAGATAACTCTCAGGAAAAACTTCCTAATGGTGTGATATACAGCCTAATATTGTGGAATAATCTTCTAAAAGAAGAGGTGGAAGCCCAGCTGAATGAGTAATTTTAAAATTAGACCGTAGGAAACAATTCAACTTTGGCAAAGGGAATGGACAAGATGACCTCATCAGCCTTTTCCATCTCAGATTTCTATGGTTCTGAGGAAAGAGAACAATAAAAGCCACTGCATAGAATCAATCCCAGAGAGAGTTGCAATGGGATAAACGGGATCAGCTATTAAAGATGGAGATTGCGAGAGAGAATGTGAATGAGGATAAGAGGATGTGAGGAAAGATGAAGTCATTGATATGCTTAGAACGCAGACTTGGAGGCAGCAATAGGTAAAGTCCTGGGCAAGGAATATAAAAATCAGAACAGACCAGCTTCAAAAAGATAAAAGAGCAGAATATGAAGTCAGGAGGCTAGGCAATTTTGCACAAAATACCTTTTGATTTAGCAGGTGTACGCAGCTCATGCTCAGTAAGAGCCATCAAGTGTCAGGGCAAAGCCATTTTTAGTACTGTAAGACCATGTGAGAATTCAAGGATGATGTTCACGTATTCAGAAATAAAGCAATATGGGTGCTATTCTTTTGCTTCAAAACCATGCACATTTGCTGGACTGGTCACTATTCAAAACAACAACGGAAGTCTCCACTCATTATGCCTGAGGGCTCAGAATGCAAGGATTTGTTTCTGACCCACTGCTGACATGGAATGTTTTCTCAGCCAGTACCCAGCAGTTAAGCACATAAGATTTTCCTTTTGCTCATACCATAAATGAACCTAGTATTTACTGGAGAATAAAGTTCAGAACTCAGCTTCAACCAGTACAGATAATTAAAAAACTATCCTTTGAGGAAGAAAGAATAGCAGAACATTACCTTCATAACTGGTAAGACTATTAAAACTGTAGTTGTGGAACCATAATGCATTCAGGCCATTTTGGGAAGGATTGGGGATGAACTGCCCCCTCATTTTTGCAAGTGGATTCATTTGTTTATAATTAATATACTCCTTTTTCAGGGAGATCAAAAAAAGAGTATTTATAATTTTTGGTGCATGGCAGGACATAAAGTGTTAGTTGTGCTTATTGACTGGATATCTGTACCTTTTTAAGTAGCAGCATAGCAAGATGCATACTGCAAATTGCATGAAAATTCCAAAATCTGTTGTTGCTTTCATGAACACATACTGACCTCTGGAGCACTTACAGAAAACAGGTATTGTGAGCCACATGAAGATGTCACACAAAGGGGAATAATAAATACATAGATCAATTTCTCCAACCAGTTAAGACATTAGAAATAAAAATGGGTACTGGCTTAAAAATATTTACAGTTCGCTTAATAACTTAGAAACCACACTGAAAAATTATGAATTCCTATAGTACTAGAAAGTGATTTTGTCATAGCTGCTGAGATATTTCTTACCAGTTGAAGAAGTCATTGTTCACTGTATCAAACAGAGTCATTTGTTTTAGCCAACACAGTAAAAGATGACGCAGTGAAAATAAAAAGCATGACTTCTAATATGATAAAGTCCCCCCTCCCCCCCCCCCCTCACTTAATGTTATCCTAGACAGTAAATCCACAGAGAAAAAAAAAGCATGAACAGGGAATTTATGACTCCCACTACTCTTAAATCAGTTTTATGTTTACCATTAGAAGTACAGTGATCAAGCTTTATCAATCTAAACAAAATGCAAAGTATAAAACTAAAAGAGTAACCTATATAGCAATATGCCTGAGTATAGTGACCAGTAGTTACTTTTATATACCTGATATGGTTTCACAAAAAAAGTTATTACAGAACAATTTAAAGTAGAAAAGAGAATCTCTATTTGCAGTTCCTTGCTCAAAATCAAACAGTTGTTGAAACCTAGAGCCAAGTCCTACTTTGTAAAAAGTGTAGATATTCATCTTTAATTAAAGTACATGTTATAAAATACTATCTTATATAAAAATATAATACTATACTATTGTATTACAGAACACGTAATATTTGTAATAGTTTTTCTGACAGGTTTCAGTATAACTTCAACTGCTAACAAACTATCTACAACTGAACAGAATTTAAGACAGGGTTTACTCCTTCATGTTTTCTCATTTCTATTGTTTCCTTCTTTTCAGAAATTACCTGATCTGTTTAGTGCCTTTTGCACTTCACTTATATGTAACTGTCAATTCTCACATGTCATCATACTACTATTTATTACAGTTGGTTTTGCCAGTTGTCACAATGAATGTTCTCTACTTAGTAGTAAAGATAGAAGCTGTACAGCATATTATAATAAAGACAGATGCAGTTTCTTCAGAC